TTCCATGTGTGCTGGAATACCTGGAAGCTGTTCTATCGAGCTCGAGTGTGCTTTCCATGTGTGCTGGAATACCTGGAAGCTGTTCTATCGAGCTCGAGTGTGCTTTCCATGTGTGCTGGAATACCTGGAAGCTGTTCTATCGAGCTCGAGTGTGCTTTCCATGTGTGCTGGAATACCTGGAAGCTGTTCTATCGAGCTCGAGTGTGCTTTCCATGTGTGGTGGAGTACCTGGAAGCTGTTCTATCGAGCTCGAGTAGCCTTTCATGTGTGCTGGAGTACCTGGAAGCTGTTATATCGAGCTCGAGTGTGCTTTCCATGTGTGCTGGATTACCTGGAGGCTGTTCTATCGAGCTCGAGTGTGCTTTCCATGTGTGCTGGAATACCTGGAAGCTGTTCTATCGAGCTCGAGTGGGCTTTCCATGTGTGCTGGAAAACCTGGAAGCTGTTATATCGAGCTCGAGTGGGCTTTCCATGTGTGCTGGAGTACCTGGAAGCTGTTCTATCGAGCTCGAGTGGAATACTAATGATTTCTACAAAACTGATAACGACTGATTACATTTCACTTACAATTTTTTGGATGAATTCAAAGATTAATTTCCAATTACAATTTGAATCTTACATGTAATGGCTACACGTACATTTCTGTACTTACAAATTTTCTGGTTTAAAACGTTGGCAGCTATAAAGTCGGGCACGTGTTTCAGCTCCAGGAGGGACGACCCAACCCGTAGGAGATAGCTGTTGTATGGCGACTTCACAAAGACGCTATTATACAAAAAAAAAACGAATTATAGGGGTTGTTAATCAAAAACATGTTCAGTAGACGATGATACCACTCATCTTACGATTAAAAGCAGTTTATTACCGAATAAAATCAGTGCTTATATATTTTTTCGGCACGAACTTCTCAATTTTTTAGCCGCCATGTCTGATGGAAGAGCTTCCGGCATGGTCTATTAATAGTGACACGGTTCAATGACGTCAGCTTTCATCCAATATCCCTTTTCGTGTATTCCGCGTGTACAGTATTGAAACAAATCACCATTACTGCACTGATAACGTTTCATTTAATAAGAAAAAGATAACAGGAAAATTGAAATTGAGTTTGTAGAACTAATATTTGTCAATTAGAAACTTTTTTGTATCTTAGCTTTTTTGCCTTAATACCCTTTTATTTTACAATTTTCAATTTGCAAGTTTTATAGAACCTGTGTATCAATTTTATCAGATCTATTAAAAAGCCTTGCCTACGTGCATTCCCGTACTTTCGTCTCTACCGCGTGAACTCCTTGGAATACTGACGTTCGTGTACGTCCTTCTTGAACCTTTTGGGATCCAGATATTATACATGTACTGTCGAGGTTTCGGTAACTAAATGTATGCATGGTCTAAAGGTTTCCTTGTTTCAACAGGATCGCAAAAAGTCCATTTGACAAAGTTTTGTTTTTAAGTTGCTTTATTTCATAACATAGAATAGCCTCCTTGTGAGATTACCTCTGTCATGTGACCGCCTGTGTTAAGAGACCACTTGCGAATATTACCACACGCAATTATTTTCATGTTTGACCTGTAATAGACGTATCTGAATACAAATTTGATTTACTGCCAATGTGACATTTTAATCTCTGTTTAACATGAAATATAAAGAAATATAATTGACTAAAATCTTAAACACAATTATCATAATGCAAGTTTTATTGAATAAATATAGTGCGAGATATCAAACTGAAAAATATTACTTGAGGTTTTGTTTTGTTTGTTTGTGCTTTATGTCCTAATAATAGCTATGGACACTTAAGGACATGCCAGGTTTTGGTGGTTGAGGAAAAGCTGGGGTTCCTGGCGAAAGGTTACCGACCTACGGCTAGTACCTAGCGACTGCCCCACGTAGGCCTTGAACCCGCGACCCAGTGGTGGAGGGCTAGAGGTAGCAGAATGTCAGACACCATAACCACTTGGCCACCTTGGCCATCGCAGCCCCCTCTTTATTTGAAGGAAAAATATTAAAATATGATTTATTTTTCCTTGAGAAAAAAAAATCATATTTAAATATGTCACAATTAAGAAATAACGAATACAAAGTATACAAAGCTGTATTTCGAACCCAAAATCGCAGAAACGAGGGTTAAACATGAATAAAGTAAAAGCAGACAGATTAATCCCTACAGTTAGAAAATCCCGAACAAACCACCAGTTTTCGTATCGAATTCCCCACTCAAAAACCCAGACCAGAAAGGCATCATTCTTCCCTCGAACTATACCCGAGTGGAATAAACTCCCACCTGACATTATTTCGACCCCCACAACGGAATTATTCAAATCAGCCCTCTACCGTCACCTTTCAAACGCAAATTAGACCATCTCGTATCTTTTAAAAACAATCTCTTTCCATGTTTCACTCCTCGTCTGACATTTTATCTTCAAATTGTTGAAGTTGGTCAGTACCATTTAGAACTTAGAACTAGAACTAAAGATAATACTTTCCCTACACCTCTTGAAAAGTACAACATGTAGGGGAATAAGAACAGACGTTTCAGAAAAATAAGCGTCCTCAGCTCCATTGACGACACTCGCCAGTCGCCTAAAGTTCAACTTTGGGTACACTGTAATGTCATGTTCTCATAACGAGAACTGGGGTAGTGACAACACAATCACAAGGCAAACTAAAATGAGCATATACAACTTCGATATTCATCCCAATAAGGTGACGATCGAGAGCATGTAGTCTTGATCAACAGGCATCTGTCGAAATTCTGCACCGCAAGTTGTCCGTAGGCATTCGACATTTATCACAGATATAAATGCATACAGAAATTTCCAATAAGGACAGGAAATATCTGTGTACGTGCATTTGAAGCGAAATTACAGATATGGTATTAAATAATTAAATATTATATATATATATCATTATATCAAATAACTTGCATCCATATAATTAATCATACTAAATTCATATAAATAAAGTGATAATGGTTCAAAAACAGGGACTTCAGGCAACACATAGTAGTAAGTGACTGTTGTTGTCAATATCAGTAAAACTAGAACATGCGTACAATGTTACTGTCACAATAAAAAGTGACATCAATGACAACGTTTGTCCATTGCACACCTGCAAACAAGTTTTTTTTTACTCATTACACACAAGCTGTAACATGTACTCTCAGATGATTCAATTTGTAAAACTTGAGGTTTCGATACGTTGCAACACTTATGTTGACAAGTTTCGGCGTTTTGTTATGCAAAAAATGGAAGGGTTCGTAACTGCATAGAACATTTACAAACATTACAATACCAATAACGACATAAACAATATCGTACTCTACCAAAAATGGTAAACAGTAATTGTGTCTATTATGAGGGTAATATAATTTACGAACACATAAATTACAATATGTCGATAATTGAATTTCAGATGAAGGACAAGTATTCATTTCACCTTCTTTAAGTTTCGATAGATAAACCAAAACTAGCTTGTTCTTCGATTGATTAAAATAACGTTTGATTGATTGATTGATGATTTATGGATATATATATATATATATATATATATATAAATTGATTGATTGCTTGATTGCTTGATTGATTGCTTGGTTGGTTGATTGATTGATTTATTGATTGATTGGTTTATTGATTGAATAATTGATTAATTGATTGATTGCTCGATTGATTGACTGTTTGCTTGCTTGCTTGCTTGCTTGCTTGATTGATTGATTGATTGATTGATTGATTGATTGATTGATTGATTGAATTGATTGATTGATTGATTGATAAAATTCATAGAAAACCAAATAGAACATTGTTGGTAAGTTGTAGTAAGTAAAATAAAATAAACAAATTATATCGTGCAGTAGAGCACAGAGCATTCGTTTCAGTTCCATTTTCTATTAGAACGAAAACATGTAACTTTTCGCTTCTTCGCGGGAAAACAAATGAACATCTGTCTACTTAACGATAAAGATATTTGACTCAGGCAGCCTCGTCTGCATTTATAAATACCCCTTCATTCTTGCGTCCTGTTTCCTTTAGGACTAGATGATTATCACTGTCAATTGGAATGTGCCAGTAATTATTACACTTAAAACGCATACAGTAACTTGTTTGTTTCCAACCTCAAAAAGCAATTATACTCAGCAGCGTTCATGTTGCAATAGGCGTACTACCTTCATTCTACTTACCCCTTATTTTGACTAATGGAGAAACTTGAACTGTCGACAAACATTCAAAATGAAACACCACCCTATACATGTATATTGTTATATGCATATTGAGATGAATGTCTTGTTAACTAATGTATAATGCTAATTTGTAAGCCTATTTTATCTTATTTTGTATTTTCGCGCTATAATTATTATCGACAATGCATATACATACAAATCTGTCGACTTTACCTGTACACTGTAACTCTACGGAATATTACATAGAAACTTTGTTTTTATCTATAGAGACTCTAGAATCGTCGATAATACAAACTCTACCTAAAACTGTCGAGAATCTAAACATGTTGGCAATGCTAAATGTACGTGAACTCTGTTCTGTATGACGTATAAACAAAACTATGAATTGTTGCCTTGTAATATGTCTTACCTTATGTATACTTTGTATCTCCATCAATGATAATAATCTTTATCTTTACAAATGAACCGTTTGTACTTGTACATCTGTTAATGGTTTTTTTCTAATCCCAAGTAATCTAGGATTTAGAGGCGTTACAAATGGACTCTAATGAGACGGTTCGGAGCACCAAATTCTCTAATTACGGTTACAGCTGTACAAGTCAGTGTAGTCGACCTAGAATATCAATTGTAAGTTGTACAATGGCTGTTAATTACTCGGGGCTAATAAGAGCTTCACAAAGTGGCCATTTCGAGCTTATTAGCCACCACATAATGCTACAGTGACTGACAGTACCGGGAGCTTGCAGCGGAAGGGAGAACCAGGTTATGAACTATGTCTATATACCTACCCCCCGTTTAGTGGCATGTGTAAACACACTCACGCGAGTTGCTGATGAGAAATGCACGTACATTGGACAACCAGAGTCAACACAGAAACGTGCTCTACGTATCCCGTTTAACGTCAGATTGTAAATATACAATTAGATGAAATGATAGGCTCCGTAGACAGCTACACGAACCTTCTACACGGAGAATCACGCACTTCGCTTGTTTTTTATTTACAACGCCTATATCGACATTGGGATTATGTTATTATTAATTGAATGAAACTTCCAAACTATACGGACCGGCAGAGATATATGCAACAAGGATTTATATATGAGGCTGTCTTAAACGACAGTACTTCCTATAGACGTTTTTGTCTTCTCGAGACCAGTTGAATACTTCATATCAGCTATTTTCTAAGGATGTAAGTATATATCAGTATCGTGTTTGTGGATACCTCCGTTGTAATAACTGATGTACCCTATTTTTCATATATATATATTTTTTGTTTAATCGTTTGTGTTTATATTTCAGAGGTGGCGCAATATTATTAGAATAACGTACGTACTCGACCCCGTTTTTAGAACTAAATGTATTACTATTTCTTTTTCCCTAGAAAGGATGTGTACTTTTCAAACCTTCGTGGTTATTTTTTAGTTTGATTGCAAATGGGAAAGAGGTATTGCCTTTCATTTAATAACATTTAACAACGACATCGATATGATATAATGTTCGAAAATTACACATTAAACAGACAAAATCTAGGATAGAAATTAATTTTAAACTTGAATGTAACACACACAAAAAAACCGCTAAAAGATACATTAACACAAGCGTATTCACCCTTGACAAAATATATACCAAAATTTGTTGATGAATTTAGTAGTGTTATCATTAAACAAATGCAAATACATTAATCATGATGTCGAAAGTAGATCAAAGATGAGCATTGTCACTATGCGTTGAAATACAAGAATAAGTAAGAAACAGATGAGAACAGTGCGCATCTAAATATTATAAGAATAAGTACGTTAAAAACGGAATACTGCCTGTGTGTGTTTGAGTACGATAATAAGGTCAAACATGAGTACTGTCTAAGTGTGTATACATTCAATAATAATAAGGTGTAGTTGAGTTCTGTTTGTGTGTATCTAAATGCATTTAGTAGGCTACAGATGAGCATTGTATCTGCGTTTTTAAGTAAATACGTAAGATATGAGTACTGTCAGTGTCTGTTTAAATACGGTAAGTAGGTTATTTAGATATTGTTAACTCATCATAATTATATCATCACTGTAAGAGGATGCAAATTGAGTTTGCGCGTGACGTGACGTCATATAAAACCTTCTGCCATGTTTTGACCTATATTTGCTCCCTAATTATGATGAGATATGGCTTTAGATGAGGTAGTGTGTGTTATCATTACGTGGATATTTGGCAGCAAGGATAGCTTAAGTGCAGTGGTAGAAGTAGGTAAGATTATCAAACTATCTTTAGCATAAGATGTCCTTAGCAATGGTCCGTATCTAGAACGTTAGATATCAGGAAAAGTGCCATGATTAACGCTGACATATAACTAAGCAATAATTGGCGTCCAATTTCCTATTTAAAAAAACATGATGTATAGAAACCCAACAATATATTATTGCTTTAACTATATCTAAAATATCGTAAACTTTAATGGATATTTCGGTGTGACGTACAAACCTGCGTGTGTTCGTAAGAAAATTTGTTCGGACAACTGTATATGGCTTAACTGGTCTTTGTATCCTGAGTATGACCTTGAGTGATTATTGCATGAAGAGTTTCTATTCGTATACCTGCCCCCAATAATCCATCGGTGTAACTGTAGTCCCTTATTTATTTCAGTTACAGTGTATCATACAAATGTCCTTGAATCTGGACACAAATAATTCTGAGAGCGATAGAAAAGTTACACAAATCATATGAGGTGGATGCAGAGACTGGCAAAGTTGGGGTCCATGATCCAAATGAGAGAGAAAAAAGAGGAATACATATTTTGTTTAAAGACATTCTGACATGTAAATAAGATTACTGAAGTCCCCTTAACCTTCCTTAATCCGCATCTATGACATGGAACATGTACGTCAAGGTAGGAATTCCTTTCACCGGAACTTGAATAAAGCCTGGATATCTTCCTGTTTCTCATTAATCATCATCTGCGATATTGAACTATTGTTCTTTAATGTATATACATACCTATTTATAAATAAGCATTGGAAGTATTCATATGCATCGCATAGGAATGTAGGATTACGTTGTTCGGACTCATGTCTGTGGTAAGTGTTTCCCATGTCATGTCAAACATAGTATCAAGCTTCCTGTAACATCTTATACTTCAGAAATAGTAACAAGACTGTATTTCATTTAGATACCGTTCCAATCTTTACATCATTAACACTTGTCATTAATTCAGAAAAGTCGCTTTTAATTACTGTCAGATGATAGCACTTGAGTTTCCTCTATTAAAAGCACACAATTCACTAACGTTTCCTATGTTAGCAATTCATCTTCCTATTTTGAGATTCATTTTAAAACCAATTAGTTCTCAGTGTGATGCTTATGATAATTGTATTTCTACCGTCAGACACTTTCCATACATCTTAGATATATATCTGTTGCCTTTATTTACCTTCCAGTAATGCTCTACTATGACGGAGACGTTCCTGGTTTTTATCCGCTCACTTGCCTAATGCTATTAACTTGGAGTGAAAACACATTTCGGTGATTTATATTAACATTGTTAATTAACAGAGTTGGGATTTCAATATAAAGCTCCAACAGTATCTAAAATAAACCATATATTTAATTGTTTTGTATATTTCATACAGGTACGTTTTGTAACATTCAGCAACACAAAAAATATGATATGCAAAAGGTATTGAACAACGACAGGATATAACCTGCATTTGATAAATTACCAGTATGGTATGTTTAAGTGTAATAATATAATAGAACATGCATATTGACCAGACAAATATGTTTTTAATGTGACGGCAGAGAGTGGTAGACATACGTTTATTGTGGTATAACTCTCTGACACAATGGTACATTTAAGAACGTTCAAGTCATTCCTCATGGTTAATTATTATTATTATAATTAGTATTCGATTATAATGGAATGAAACATACTCTGAAATAATTATATATAATCAAGATAATTGCATTCATTGTCTTTGTTACTAAAATCCCAGATATCGGGGTTTTTTTCCTTCCAAAGAAAATACATCATTGCCATGACTCCAGGATCTACTTTATAACTTATAAAACTATTGTTCACAATCAAGTGTTGTTTTAAACAACGCATTAATTTATTCAATTTGCATCTTTTTAAAAAAAATATAAAAATGTAATGTTATAAATTATATTCATATCCCCGGGATTAAGATAAAGATTAATCGTCCTTATTGCTTAAATATTATATATTATACTATACATTATATATATGTTGTCCTTTCCATATTATCATTTTTTTATGAATAGATCATTTCAAACGGATTCTTGCTGTTAAATAGGCTAGTACAATGGAGGTCTGTTGTGTTATGCAGGCACCACGACATTTTTATATCAGTGATAATGTGCTCTTAATTGAGAATTATACTTTGAGATCCATGGTGTGCTACATATTCAACCAAGAAAGAAATTTTGGGAGCTTTCTGATTTAAAAAAAAATAAAAATGGGAGACACATTCTCTTATGGTTTCGATATTGAACTAAAACTTGTTTGTTTCCTATTAAACATGTAGGACGTGTCTTGATTAGGTCAGGGTTAACGCAATACTTGCTAAAACCATGCTCCATTTTGCTAATGATAGTAAACACGTAGGTAGTGTCATAGGTCAGGGTTGTCGTAATGTTTTGTTTACTCCGTCCTCCATCACAGCTATTATAGTAAACACATAGTACTGTCATAGGACAGGTTATCGTAATGTTTTGTTTACTCTGTCCTCCATCACAACTATTATAGTAAATAACATAGGTACTGTCATAGGTCAGGGTTGTCGTAATGTTTTGTCTACTCCGTCATGCATCACCGGTATTATAGTTAACACATAGGTGCTGTCATAGGTCAGGATTATCGTAATGTTTTGTTTACGCCGTCCTCCATCACAGCTATTATAGTAAACACATAGGTACTGTCATATGTCAGGATTATCGTAATGTTTTGTTTACTCCGTCCTCCATCACAGCCATTATAATAAACACATAGGTACTGTCATATGTCACGATTATCGTAATGTTTTGTTTACTCCGTCCTCCATCACAGGTATTATAGTAAACACATAGGTACTGTCATATGTCAGGGTTGTCGTAATGTTTTGTTTACTCCGTCCTCCATCACAGCTATTATAGTAAACACAAAGGTAATGTCATATGTCACGACTATCGTAATGTTTTGTTTACTCCGTCCTCCATCACAGGTATTATAGTAAACACAAAGGTGCTGTCATAGGTCACGATTATCGTATTGTTTTGTTTACTCCGTCCTCCATCACAGATATTATAGTAAACACATAGGGAGTGTCATAGGTCAGGATTATCGTAATGTTTTGTTTACTCCGTCCTCCATCACAGCCATTATAGTAAACACATAGGTACTGTCATAGGTCAGGAGTATCGTTATGTTTTGTTTACTCCATCCTCTATCACAGATATCATAGTTAACATATAGGTACTGTAATAGGTCAGGAGTATCGTTAAGTTTTGTTTACTCCATCTTCCATCACAGATATTATAGTAAACATATAGGTACTGTCATAGGTCAGGGTTGTCGTTATGTTTTGTTTACTCCATCCTCCATCACAGATATTATAGTAAACACATAGGTACTGTCATAGGTCAGGATTATCGTTATGTTTTGTTTACTCCATCCTCCATCACAGATGTTATAGTAAACATATAGGTACTGTCATAGGTCAGGGTTGTCGTTATGTTTTGTTTACTCCATCCTCCATCACAGATATTATAGTAAACATATAGGTACTGTCATAGGTCAGGGTTGTCGTTATGTTTTGTTTACTCCATCCTTCATCACAACTATTATAGTTAACACATAGGTACTGTCATAGGTCAGGAGTATCGTTATGTTATGTTTACTCCGTCCTCCATCACAACCGCAACTATTATTGTAAACACGTAAGTAGTGTCTTAATTAGGTTATGTTTTCCTTACTCCGTCCTCCATCTTGCTAATTATAGTTAAAGTGAAGGTAGTGTTACAGATTAGGGGGATGCCGTCGCCAAGTGGTTAAGGTGTCTGACATTCTGCTACCACTAGCCTTCCACCACTGGGTCGCGGGATCGAGACCTACGTGGGGCAGTAACCCGCCAGCTACTGGCCATATGCATTGGTCGGTGGTTTTTCTCCGGTAACTCCGGCTTTCCTCTACCATCAAAATATGACACATCCTTAAATGACCATAGCTGTTAAAGGACGTAAAGCGCACACAAACTAAAAAAAAAACGCAGGTTAGGATTATCGAAATGTTTTGTTTACTCTATCCGCCATCAAAATCATTATAATGAACACGTAGTTTTGTGTTATTTAGCCATGATTATCTTAATCTTTTGTTTACGCCGTCCTACATCATAGTTATAAGAGTAAGACCTTTCTGATGTCTTATAATGTTTGTATTAGAATCCTCCAAAAGAGTCATTATAGTTCAACGAACTACAACAACTGCTCTCAGTGGTGGGGTAATGGGAACAAGGTTACGTTGAAAAAATGTAATAGCCCTCACTTAGGCTGTGTAAGTGGTCACGTTTGACACTAAAATGCTAGAAAATTAGATTAGGTACCACTATCACAAACCTGCTGGAATCGGATTAGATTTCCCGTACACACACCTGCTACATGTAGAATAAATTTCCATCAGGGTGAAAACACATACAAAAGAAAACAGAGATACACTGATCACTTCCAGTACAGCCTATTGGTGTCTTCGATTTTGATATTGTGAGTGGAAAACCCGACCGATTATTAAGCATCTTTCCCGCTGGGTCGTCCTCGGTAACATATTGTACGCTAGTGCAGATATGGGTGCTACGTCTTAGAAAAACAAATTGGGACTAGTATACTTGTTTGCAGTGTTAAGTTACAAAAAAAATGTAATGTACATGTTCATGTCTTTCAAGTAATGTTCTCGTTGAGTTTTGTAAATATTTACCCATAGAAAGATGGATATTCTAGTATTTTTTTCCATTGTAAGACATGTACAATGCATTCCATTGTACACATCACCTGCCAGTTAAATTTAAAAACGAATAACATCATTCGTTTGATTATCGAAGTAAACATTCTCTGTGATTGAAGTATTCATATAAAAAAAACACACATAAAAAATAACTTCCATAAATACATGAAATACAGTACACTCAAAAAATATAAAAATATGATGAAAGTGAAATCAACAACCCTCACTCCTTCCCACCCAACCGCGGTTAACTTCGAAACCCACTTGTTTTTAGATTGGGTTGAGTTACTTCTTCATCACATTATAGTAGAAATACAGTGTACCGACCTAATTCCACATCGCTATAGTTATTCACATAGCACCAAATTTAACATCACACTGTAGTATTTATGCAAATAATAGTCAAATGAACATCATTTCAAACATATGGGATATTCTTATGTGTTTTATTTATTAAGTTTGCTGGCTAACACAATTGCAGATAGTTTCACTGTTGTATATAACAACGTTACATCATACGTTATCAGTAGACATGTTTTGTGTGGCGGTTTGTGTAATACACCAGCAGATATTGCTTTACACAATGAATACAATCGACAATCTTCCCGGGCAGGCATTCAAAGTGTATAATTTCTATTTAAGAGCTTCGCCTACTTAATATTTTTGTTTAAAGGACAAAAATGCTTCCATCGACATATTTCTCTTGAACAATATGTCTGTATGTGTTGAACCCTGTTTGTATCGACGTGTAGAGGGCAGGTCTAATTGAGTCGGACGGATATTACATTTTTGTTATATTTCATTATGCGTATTACATAATGTCGTTAAATTCAGATGCCTGTATTTATCTCATTGTTTAAATAATGACTTTATGAAGATACTGTATCGTGTATAATTTTCCATTCGTGTTCTCAATGCAGAAAGGACAATGAGCATGACTAGCTTTCCCCAGCCGCCTGTGGCTGGGAGAGATTAGGATTATTGGAAGTGGCACCGCTAAGTACCGTTTGATAACTTAATGATAAGGGTTGGTAGTCTTTAACCTAACCTTGCAATGACACCTGAGGGTCATGTCAGTCGTATATGATACACGTTTCAGGAAGTTGCAGGTTCCTGCAAGGCGCTGATTCAGGACGAGTTCACCTCGAACAGAGGAAGTCGGAAATACCCAATAGTATTAGGTAATCATTCAAAATAAATGAACACTGCGTTTTGTAAATGCCCGAAATTTCTTTCCACCATAACACATATCTAAAACGGTGTAAAAGCGAAAATATGTAGTAGACAATATTAATGTTATGAACAGGATACATAATTACTGATAGATGCATTAAACCTGTTTCATAACTCGTGATTTCGCTACCTTGGATATGTTCATACTACCATTGAACATTCTTCAACATACAAATGTCTAGTATCTTTATGAAGCGAGGAATAACCGGTTTGAAAAATGAATGTTGCATCCACTTTTTGCTCCACGCGTACTGAAGTGAAGTGATTCCGTGAAGTGTTGAGCTGTAAGTAGATGCATTATATCTTTGGATTAACAATAAAAAAAAATGATATTTAATATCTATGTTTCGACTGCTCTACACCTAAGTTAGTGTTAATTTTCACGATTTCAATACTCATTTTTCGTTGATCATACTATTTAAAGTAGTTGGAACCAAACAATTTTAACGTGAAGGTCTCTATACCACTTTGACTATGTAACGTCTGTAGTTTTCTGTTTTAAATTGATAGAACGGTGATATACGTGTTACATGACTCTGTGACGGTTTATGGTAGACAATTACACTAGTGAACGTGTTTACTAGCCATCATGTATATCTATCAGTCTTCATGTCATTTTGTTTATAGGCTCCCAAAATAATCTATAACAGACAGACGTACCAGGGAACAAATAACTGTACATTTGTAATTGTCATGTTGTTCTAGAATAAATATAACAGACCTGTAAAGTAATTTCACAATCTTGGTGATCAATTTAAGATGGCACCAAACAAACTGACGTTTTATACAGGTTATCAAAACGGTCTCAGCCGTATGTTGGCATTCGTAGAAATATTTTGTTTATTATTTTATGCTTCTTGCTCCGAATGTGTTTCTGAAAAGCTATATGTGAGCTGTGTTTTTTTAGAATGGATTTCAAAATATGCGTCGAACGAGTTAAACACAGTTGTGGAATACACTTGTTTTCTGACAGATGGTTTACTAGTTTAAGGGAACGCCTCCGTTGTTGTTTTATACATGTTCCGTACTCCATCGACACAACATCTAATATTTAATGTTTTTTTGTTTCCTCTGAGGCCTGACAAGGGTGAACTGTAAATAACACACAAACATTAGGGAACATTAATGATCCAACGCTACATTGAATTGTGAATTATACAGATATTACGACAATTATCAATGGAAATAAAATGGCGTCAATAACACACTAACGAACTATTCCGTCTTTGCGTATTGCAGAGCTATCTTCTCTTGGGAACTGGTATTGATTGTTACGTCATTAGTTTGTGTGAGAAAATTACGTCGTTTTTCAAAAATTGATGACGTTATTCTCTTAAACAAGTGACGTATCAAGCAATACCTGTTCTCAAGAGAAGATAACTCTGCAATACGCAAAGACGGAATACAGCATCCGGAACAATATCAGCGCTGATTTATAATCATTGTGGTATATTCCCAACATTGAACAATGTAGTACAGATACATAAAACCGAACAACGGTGAACGCTAATAGTTTCGGTGATGCACAATGAAACAGGAGGACAAACTACTGGTATGCATTATTCCACATTTAAATTCACTTTTGGGCTGATGATTATAACATTGTCCTGCCGTCTCCCCTCCACTTTCCATTCCCTTTCACTGTACCTCAATCCATAACCTGATACATGCACCACACTATGTTTTATTGTCTCTAATTTTCAGTACCACTATTTGCTTCTATGCTACTATATGTAGCAAGTATGCTTCACTTATTTCATTTTTTTTTTCGATCAGTGGCGCTGGTTGACATGTCACTCTGGTCCTAACTATAATAAACGTAGACATGTTGATTAATAGGCAACATGTACTGGTATATAACGTTAAAAGATTATCCGCTAAGATTAAACTATTATACTGACATGGAGGAATCCGACCAAAGCAGACTAAGCCAGTGTCGAGAAACAAGTGTACCGACTGTGACGTGTTTCTGTCACACAAATACTCCCATAACTCCCTATAGAGAATTCAGTGAAAACAAGATATAAACAACGATAGCACAGCTTGTCAGGAAATAAAGAGAAAATTGCGTGCGCCAGGTCAATATAAACAACTCGAAATGGCAACCACCTCGCTGAACGAGTTTGGATAAAACATGTTCGCTTCCACCATTTTTATTCTGAGGCATCATTCCTCACACAGAAATTGAGTAGACTTCGCTCCCGAGAGGATTAGGACCGAGAATGGCTTAATTATTTAGATACTGGTTAAATCTCGTGCTTAATTTTGCATTACAGGTAAAGTCGCTCTGTTAGATCGTACACAGTGAATTGCAGAGCTTACATCTCCTGACGCGCCAGTAACTGTAGCAGCGATGCAATAGGACCGTCGAACAGGTAAGTCGGTAATCTTCCTTGTGTCAATTTTTACTTAATTTGTTAATGAAATGTCGAGTGTTGGAATGGAAACACGTTTAGATGTTGTGATAAAACACGTTTGTTTTTATGTTAGAAAGGACTATACAGTCTTGACGTTTGTTAATTCGACTAAGAAAATTTGACATGCTGGAAAGAGCTTAACTATCTATCAGACTAATGAAAATAGCACATGCTGTTATTTAGTAGGATCATAGCTTTCATTGTATAGTCAAAATCTGATTTATATCCACGTGTGCTGATAATGAAATAGTCGATAGGGTTTTCCTGTTTTCTATTCAGTTGTTAAACTAGAATACAGGCAAGAACTTTGCTCGAATGGATAAAAGGTATTCTAACTGGCCTCCGATGTGTACTTATCTGCAGAAATACGTCACAGTGTTCGGAGGCAGCGTAAATTAAGTTGTGATTTACGGACATGTAAACGCACCTAACATAGCATTAGACGATGAGAAATGTGTGTTTTTATAAAGACAATGTTAAATATATACGTTTGTTCGTAACAGATAAACACAGCAGTAGACATATTTATAGGTAAACCATACATCATCTGAGACGATAATTTTGTCTTATGTGCTGGTGCTGGTGCTATGTACTTAAATATGTCTTAACGACATGAGTATATGTACTGTCTATATCAACCTAAATTCTGGATCGTCCCGTATAAACTACCAACTTACATAGATTTTACAGAATGACTGCATTTTTAAACTTTCAAACTGACGCATATATGCATGCACTGCATGCTTAAACATGTCTTACAGCCCTGCTTGCTGAAACGCGTCTTACAGACCAGCCTATATAAAGTGTCTACTAAATCGTGTCTTTAGGACTGCCACATGTAATCAGCCTTAAGTGACTGTCAAACATGTCTTACAGATTAGTGTATACTTAGTGACTGTCAAACATGTCTAACAGATTAGCGTATACTTAGTGCCGATCAAACATGTCTTACAGATTAGCCTATACAAAGTGCCTTTCAAACATGTCTTACAGATTAGCATAAACAAAGTGCTTATTAAAGATGTCTTATAGTTTAGCGTATACAAAGGGCCTTTCAAACATGTCTTACAGATTAGCGTAAACAAAGTGCTTATGAAAGATGTCTTACAGATTAGCGTATACAAAGTGCCTATCAAACATGTCTTACAGATTAGCGTATGCAGAGTGCTTATGAAAGATTTCTTATAGATTAGCGTATACAAAGTGCCTTTCAAACATGTCTTACAGATTAGCGTAAACAAAGTGCTTATGAAAGATGTCTTACAGATTAGCGTACAAAGTGCCTTTCAAACATGTCTTACAGATTAGCGTATACTAAGTGCCTATCAAAAATGTCTTACAGATAAGCGTTTACAGATTACTTATGAAAGATGTCTTACAGATTAGCTTATACAAAGTGCCTTTCAAACAAGTCTTACAGATAAGCGTATACTAAGTGTCTATCAAACATGTCTTACAGATTATCGTATACAAAGTGCCTTTCAAACATGTCTTGCAGATTAGCGTATACAGAGTGCTTATGAAAGATGTCTTACAGATTAGCGTATAAAAACTGCCTATCAAACATGTCTTACAGATTAGCGTATACTTAGTGCCGATCAAACATGTCTTACAGATTAGCGTATACAAAGTGCCTTTCAAACATGTCTTACAGATTAGCGTTAACAAAATGCTTATTAAAGCTGTCTTATAGTTAAGCGTATACAAAGTGCCTATCAAACATGTCTTACAGATAAGCGTATAATAAGTGCATATCAAATATGTCTTACAGATAAGCGTATACAAAGTGCCTATCAAACATGTCTTACAGATTAGCGTATACAGATTAATTATGAAAGATGTCTTACAGATTAGCTTATACAAAGTGCCTTTCAAACAAGTCTTACAGATAAGCGTATACTAAGTGTCTATCAAACATGTCTTGCAGATTAGTGTATACAAAGTGCTTATGAAAGATGTCTTACAGATTAGCTTATACAAAGTGCCTTTTAAACAAGTCTTACAGATAAGCGTATACTAAGTGTCTATCAAACATGTCTTACAGATTAGCGTATACTAAGTGCCTATCAAACATGTCTTGCAGATTAGCGTATACAGAGCGCTTATGAAATATGTCTTACAGATTAGCGTATACTTAGTGCCGATCAAACATGTCTTACAGATTAGCGTACACAAAGTGCCTTTCAAACATGTCTTACAGATAAGTGTTAACAAAGTGCTTATTAAAGATGTCTTATAGTTTAGCGTATACAAAGTGCCTATCAAACATGTCTTACAGATAAGCGTATTCAAAGTGCCTAATCAAACATGTCTTACAGATTAGCGTATACTTAGTGCCGATCAAACATATCTTACAGATTATCGTATACAAAGTGTCTATCAAACATGTCTTACAGATAAGCATATTCAAAGTGCCTATCAAACATGTCTTACAGATTAGCTTATACAAAGTGCCTATCAAACATGTCTTGCAGATTAGCGTATACAGAGTGCTTATGAAAGATGTCTTACAGATTAGCTTATACAAAGTGCCTATCAAACATTTCTAACAGATTAGCGTATAAAAACTGCCTATCAAACATGTCTTACAGATTAGCGTATACTTAGTGCCGATCAAACAT